AAATATAATTTTGTATTTTACCTATTTGCGGCTCTTGGTTTTGGCCCGTTTCTTAGAAGCCTTTTCAGTATTTACTCCGGATGGTCTTTTTTTCCCTATATATTAAACAAAAATATAATTAAAATTGAATTCATTAAGGTGAATTATAGAAAATCGAATGCTACAAAATGTTTTTCTTTCTGTATTATATACAAATTTTTTAATGCTTACTAGTATTATTTCCATTTTGCTCTACTGGAGATAATGGTAAACCTGATGATTGAGCATTAATACGGTCATCAACTTCAATTCCATCAGAACTTGTTGCTAGTAATCAAGTTGAAATTCTTGAAGATTTTGAAGATCTCAGTTGACGGGTAGTGGCAGATAATTCGAACTTGTCATTATTGTTATTAACTATAGGCCTATCAATTTCAATTGCGTTAGAACTTGCTGCAGATGATCTGGTTGGAATCTTAGAAGATTTTGAAGATTTCATTGTGTGAGGTGCAACGGGGGGTAATTCAGATGCATCGTTGTCACTGTTAACTTCGGAACTGTCATCATCAATTACTGTTGGTGTAATGGTGGATGATTCTGATTCATCGATATTAGTGGAAGAGGTAAAACTATTGTGCCTTGAAGGAGAATCATTTTCATTAGATGAAATTGATTGAGTATCAATTTCATCATCATTGTCGCCTATAGCGGAATTTGTCACTGTTGATTGAGATAGGGTCGGTTTCTTGAATCTTGGAGGAGGAATAACGTTCTTGCATTTAGGAGGAGGAGCAATACCTTTAACACGGGCTTCTTTTATCTTGTTCTTGCGATCAGTCTCCACTGTCAGTTAGTATAATATTTATTAAAAAAAATTTTTTTTACTAATCATCTTCAACCAATTTGAAAACGGCAATAAATAGAAATACGAATTTTTACCCCAATTTCTAACGATATTTTCACATATTTTCTGTAAAACAAAGTCTCCAACCGAAATAGGAAATGTTGGAAAATCATGTTTAAACTATGAATTATAATTATTAGCGTTAGTTTTTACATGACAAAATAATTATTTGATAGAAATATGCATGCACGTACATCGTTAATAATTTTCTGAATCCTGCCTGGTGCTTGCTCTGATGCATATCTGCCTTTGTGGCAACTTGTTGCTAACCTGTCACGCAAGTTCCTCTAAATACAATAAATTTAATTTTAA